GCAAATTTTATAGAGACTGAAGCAAACAATATAATTTTGCTTAATTTTCTTCTAATATGCACTCAATATACACAAATCACAAAATACAAATAAAATTTGCTGATATCACAATGAATGGTAGATGTAGGTATGGCCAGAGTCTGCATTCTTCACACAGAGACATTCAGCTTTAAAAGGACAGACCTAATTTTAAAAGTTGCTCTTTACAATTCAAAACAATTTCTCATCTTTACATGCATACACAAATTTGCACACACAAATGTGCCCACAACAGAAAACATGGCGCCTTAACAATGTAACAAAAAAAAAAAGGCCCACCTTCCAAATTGTTCTTGCACACAATCTATCACAACCCTGGCATAGACAGAGGAAAATTTCTCCCCACTTTTCAGCTGGAAGGAGGACATGGCCCTGGTATTCAGGTCGGAAGGTTCATGTGAAATTCAAGGAAGACCTTGAACAGATAGAGACAGGAAACAAAAACAAATATATTGTCCTATTACTTACATATTCTTAAATAAAACAAAGACAAATTATTGGGATTGTAATAGCATGGGAGTACAGTAATGGATACCAAATCTTCTGATAGCTTTGAGGGTTTCAAATTACAGCCTTGCAAAGATTGCCCTATTGCAGTGATGGCGAACCTTTTAGACACCAAGTGCCCCAAAACCACCCCATCTGCCCCACTGGAAAATGCATTATGAGTCTCATCAGAGCTCTGAATAAAGATTTCTTCAACTACTCTTAATAGGGTTAATTTTGCTTCTTGACCAAATTACAAAGAAAAAGTCTTAAGAAAGTATAACAAACTGACTACAGGGACAAATTTCATCTAAAAGCTGAGCACAGCATTTGTAATTAACTATTTGATTTCATTTTCTTGTCACCAAAGAAATTCAGTTAATAACAATTAAAAGTTTCTCTTTTTTACCATTGTTGGAAAAACTCCCATATTCTCATCCCCATTAGAAAAACATGCAGACACACTTTTTTCTCTATAAAAGCCCTTTTTTCTGAAATCCTGGGCATACCACCAAGAACAAAGGGAAAACTCAGATAGCAAAGCCATCAAGAATTGCCTGCCCTGCCCCTGATGGGATTAACTCCCAAAATAGAATCAGGACAAAGGAAACATCCCTGAGGAGAACTACCTGCCCTGCCCCTGACAGGATTAAGCCCCACAAAATAGAAACCGGACAAAGGAGATACCACTTAGGACAAAGAAAAGAACATCAAGCAACTATTAAAAACACAAAAGAAAAAGCCAGCCCAGCCACAGTCCCAGGGTAGAAAAAGCATATAAAAAGCCATACATGGGACCGGGGGACACCTTGCAAGGCAGGAATGCTGAAGTCACTTCTCTGTCACTTTATTGCCTTCCTGTAATAAAGATCTGCTTTGCGGTAGCTGTGGTCCTCAAATTTCTTCATCGTCAGCTTTCCCCAGCTGGAAACAAATCAGGAAATTCTTCTGATACCATAATTATCCAAAATCTTTGCCAGTTTCTGTTTAGGAAAAACAATAGCTTTTTCTTACCCATTCCGAGGTGAACTGAAAATTTTCAAGTATATCAAGCCTGCAGGATTTTTTTCTTTAAATAAGCTTGTTGCAGTATCCTGAGAAAAAACAAATCAGCTGTTTCTGTGGTATCAGCCATTTTCAGTTGTGCTAGCTTTTCATACTGTTTTTCTGCTTCCATTGTTGCTCACAAGTCTACTAGACCCAGAAATCCTTTTGGGGGTAATAGTTGAACTCAGTTTGCATGTAGATGGTCCACCTCATGTCAAAAGGAACCCACTGTGATCATCTTTCTTCCTATAAAAGGTCTCCATTGTATTGTCCATTTCCCTGCATTGTATAGCTATTCCCCTTTAGTCATTCCCTGCTGTACAGACAGGATAAATAGTCAGTCCCACAACTGGCCTCAGACACTAATTGGCTTCCTGGGGTAAACTCTTCCCCTGCACTTTTCCCTTTTCTTGTGTCCTCTCTCAAGGAATTATCAGCTTAGCTTCTCCTAGCTCCTCAGTTGTCTGCCTACTCTGAAGATGCATGGATGAATTCACCCTGTGCTACAAGGCATATTCTGTGATTGAGTAAAGCCAAACTGAGCCCTGAAGGGTCCCACACTGCCACTCAGACAAGCCCTTGAATCTGTTGCTTCTTGTCTCAGGCATCCTAGAAAAGTCTGAGTTGCACATGTTGCTGATAAGAATTTGATCCCTGAATTTGTGAGAGAGATTTTTACCTTTGCAAAGGGGCTTCTTTGTCCGCCCCAAAAAATACAAATTACCAAGTAAGTTAATTAAAAAACAGATCTGCAAACAACTAGCAGCAAACCAAGGCATAACTAGCAGCCAGCACAGGTTTGTTAAAAACAGTCATGCCAAACCAATCTGATCTCATTATTCGATAACGTAACTAAACTAGTAGACCAATGAAACGCAGTGGGTGTAATATACCTAGATTTCAGTAAGGCTTTTGACAAAGTAGACCAACCTACTCCTTGGTAAGCTAGAAAAAGGTGGAATAGACAACATCACCACCAGATGGATCTGTAACTGGCTAACAAACCGTATGGCACTACATCCATGTGGAGAGAAGTAAGCAGTGGGGTACCACAAGGATTCATCTTAAGGCCAGTACTCTTCAATATCTTCATACATGACTTAGATGAAGGAATTGAATCAAATTTGCAGATGACACCAAACTATCAGGAGTAGCCAACACCCCAGAAGACAAACTCAGGATCCAAAAAGATCTTGACAAACTTGAACAATGGGCCCTATCCAACAAAATGAGTTTCAATGTGGAGAAAAGCAAAATCCTACACTTAGGCAGGAAAAACCAAAGGAACAAATACAGGCGAGACCTGGCTTGGAGGCAGTAACTGTGAGAGGGACCTTGGAGTCCTAGTGGATGATCACTTAACTATGAACCAGCAGTGTGCAGCGGCAACCAAAAAAGCTAATACAATCCTGGGTTATATAAACAGAGGCATAGAATCAAGATCACGCGAAGTATTAGTACTACTTTATAAAAGCCTAGTAAGACCACACCTCGAATACTGCAGCCAATTTTGGTCACCATATAACAAAAAAGATGTTGAGAGTTTGGAAAAAAATTCAGAGAAAGAGCAACTAAGATGATCAAAGGCCTTGAGACCAAAACATATGAAGAACAGCTGCAGGACTTGGGTTTGGCCAGTCTAAAGAAAAGAAGACATAGGGGAGACATGATAGCAGGGTTCCAGTATCTGAGGGGCTGCCACAAGGCAGAGGGGGACAGGTTATTCACCAGAGCACCAAAGGGAAGGACAAGAAACAATGGTTGGAAGCTGATCAAGGAGAGAAGCAACCTGGAATTAAGGAGAAACTTCCTCACAGTGAGGACAATCAACCAATGGATCAGCTTACCCCCAGAAATCATGGGTATTCCATCACTGGAAGTTTTTAAAAAGAGACTGGACAATTACCTGACTGAGATAGCAAAGAACCGTGGTAGCGAACAGAGCCCTCTCTGTGGGCACGTGTGCCGTCGCCCCAGTCCTAGGCCTTCAGCTGGGTTTTATAAAATCTTTTTGCTTTAGGCCTCTGATGCCATGTGCAAAAAAAAAAAAAAAAAGTTCACTCAATCAATTTCATCTTCTTGGGGAAAAAAAAAGATCTTGCAAAGTAGGAATTGATTGGTTGAACTTTTCAGTGCCACTCTGCCTGCCATTACCACTGCAGCCCACACCCACCCAATAGGCCACACCCACCCAGCATCCAACAATACATAAGTGGGTTTTGGGTTGCAGTTTGGGCACTCGGTCTCTAAAAGGTTATCCATCACTGGTATAGAACCTCCTGCTTGAGCAAGGGGCTGGACTAGAAGACCTCCAAAGTCCCTTCCAGCTCTGTTCTATTCATAGGCAAAGCAAAAAACATTCATTAAGGGGGACGGGGTGTCAAGTCTTTTTATATGGTACAGAAGCAAATAATACATTTAGTATATGTAATATGACAGAAAACAAGTGATCATACAATAAAAGACATTAATGACATGCCAGACTTGAGCAGGAGAAAACATTGACTCTGGATAACGTTCCATAGGTGGCAAATTTATGGATTATATTACTCTTGTAATGGCTTGTATCTTTCTTAAAATTTACAAGTACATTCACGGACTTTCAGAATACTCTCTCTATTGTTTAAGGCTGAAATGACAAGTTCTTGCCTATCAAAGGAAAAGTCCATGGAGAAAAAAATGCTTTTCTGAAGTTAATCTCCAATAGTTAAATTTTGGATTATTTGCTCCCAACATTCCTCCCTGTTTGAAGATTAGTTGTGGTTTTTGAAACACGCAAGTGCGGTAGTGCCGTCGAATTTTTTGGCGCTGCATCGCTAGATGGCGTTGTCCGTCCATAAGCCTGTCTAGTCAGAACGGTTATGGCTCCAACGTCACTCTCGCAGCACGTCCCATCCTCCTTTTTCTTCTCTGCAGGTAAGGTGGCTGGGCGGTGTCAGTTCTAGCTAGGAGAGGAGGAGTCCGCGGGAGGGCTAGCGGTTGCTCGCGGCTCTCGGCCGTGGCTGGGGCTGGGGCTGGGGCTGTTCTCGGAACGGCTCTCATCCACCCGTCGCTGCAGCTTCGAATTGCTAAGTGAAAGGCGAAGCGAGGCGAGGCGGGTACTTTGGCTTGACAAGCGGAAGGGAGGTAAGAAGAAGGAGAGAAGTGGCGGGCGCTGCCCTCCTCGCTATCGTCGTCTTCTCGGACTTTTATTGGCTATGAGTCCGGCCCAAAAGCCGCAGCTGTCGCGGTCTTCCCGCAGTAGCCGAGCGCCTCCTCAACAGCAGCGCAGGGGACTCCTGACTGAGATTCAGACGTCCCTTCTCACCGAGCCCTTCGAGGCCCGCTATACCCTCAGCCCCGGCCGCGAACTCGGCAGGTAAGGCGGGCAGGGGAAAAGACCCGGACTGTGCAGAGGGCGCTATTTTGCCTCCGCTGGTGGTGTGCTAGATGGTTTGGGTCCTGAAATTACCATGGAATATTTAAATGGCAGCGGAGTCTACGCTCGAGATGTAGCAAAAGCGAGAGACCTCGAGAGAAGAACGGGAAAAGATGATGAGGGACAGGTGGTGGAAAGAGCGCGGGGAGCCTTATCAAAGTCTCTTTATTCGGGGAGAAAACCAAAATCTCCCCGCGGCACCCTTGCCACAGCCCACTGTCAAGGTTATGCCCGGACCCGATTCACTTTGGATGCAAGATTATTTTTCCTTAAACGTCTAGCAACCCAAGCCTCTTTTTTACGCAACTTTTCTTCGGCTTTTCCTTACTGTCTCTAATTGCCCTTATTGGAACACCCAAACAGGTGTTCTTCATCTTGAGAAGTCTGTAAACGTGAGCAAGGCTGTCTCCTCCTGGTTATGGAGACAGGTATGTAAAATGCAATGGGGCTTTCACAAATTTGTATATTTCAATGACTGAAGGTAAAATATTAAGCATTTTTCAAATAGAAAAATGTAACTTGCTACTTGTATTATCTTTAGTCTTAAATAGAGATAGGTTTTTTCTATGTCTAGCAGGGGTAGGCAACCTTGGCTCTTTTATGACTCGTGGACTTCAACTCCCAGAATTCCTGAGCCAGCCATGGCTGGCTCAGGAATTCTGGGAGTTGAAGTCCACGAGTCATAAAAGAGCCAAGGTTGCCCACCTCTGCTCTAGAGAAAGGCATCTAATATAAAAAGATTGCTTTATATGGCAGGGGTCCCCAACCCCCGGTCCATGGATCAGCCCCAGGCTGCAGCATGCCAGCAACCGGGTCGCACAAACAAGCAAAGCCCCATTCGGGGGGGGGGGCAGCATGTAAAACGTTGCCCGCTCCGGTCTGCAGAAAAACCTCCATGGAACCAGTCCCCAGTGCCCAAAAGGTTGGGGATCTCTGTTATATGGTATTATATTTTTCTGTCTTAACTGGATATTTCTTTCAGAGGGATCTCTAAAAGTGTGTGATGTCAAAACCTATAGCAGGCTGATCAGGAACTTTTCTCTCATTTGCTTTAAATAGCCAAGTCTGAGATTATTCTTTACTGATTCAGACTTTGTTCAGGCCTTCAGCAGTTGTTTAGTCATTAAAGCCTATGGACCTAAGACTTGTAAATTAAAGGGCTAAAGATAGAGACTAGCTTGAGAGGGTTTAATCTGAGTCAAAAGAAATAAATACAGCCAGCATGGTATTTTAAAAAATTATTTGTAGGGATCAACGTATGGCTTTAGTTTGTTTAAAGATTATATTTACATATTTCAAAAAAGGATAATGTTTGTATATTAAAGTTACTGATAAGACAATATTTCCATACATGTTTTTTGTTTATGGGGGTTATTTTTTAATTATATATATATGTGCTAATATAAACACACATTTCATTTGTTATCTCAGTGGGTCTCAATCTTTTTAATGCTGCGACCCCCAACCGGTCATAAGTCGAGGACTACTCAACTGGTGCAGCACCGTTTGCAGAATGGGACTTTTGGCGGGCTCAGCAGGGCAGAGACAGCCTGGACAATTCCTATTGGCTTTTGAAAGCCAATAGAATTAGACTCTATTCAAGAGAGTCTATTCTATTGGCTTTCAAAAGCCAATAGAATAAAAGGGAGTAGCACAGCTAGGGGAAAGGGGAAAAAAATGGCGGACTGCATTGTTTGGCAACCCCCATGAAATGGTCGTTCAACCCCAAATGGGGTCCCGACCCACAGGTTGAGAACCACTGGGTTATCTGATTTGCTAATTGATCGTGCTGTCTATTTTTTGATGTATTAAACCACTAAACAAGTTAAACAGATGCACTACCACTTTATGGAAAATGGCATAAATAAAGCATAAACATAAATAAAGATAAAATGATTTTTGATACTGGAAATGACATACATCTTACTAAAGCAAATTATAACAATCATGTATTTGAATTTCAAACAAGTCTACGGTCAGTAGACCATATGTTTTCAGTATTGTGTGTAAAACTAACTGTTGTAATTCATCAGTATAATTTATAGCTTGATATCTAATAGTTACCACATTGTGACAAATCTTAAATGTATGTGTTTTGATGATATATATCAATTTAGTAGAAATATTTAAATCTAAAATAGTAAATGTTTTATGAATTAGTAAGTTGAAAGTATGTTGCTTTTACTTCCTTACAAGTAAATCAAATGGAAGCTCTGTTACATTACTGAAAATTTCTAACACTCTTAATATTGCAATAGTAGCATAATAAAGCATCAGTGTGTCAGTTTTCCAGATGGAAGTACAGATAAATAAAAATGACACAATATTTTACAACTTGAATTTGGTCCACTACTTTTCTGTGGCAAGTAAGAATCTCTTTCCTTGTCACAACCACTTCTAGTGTTTTCTTCTTGGGATGAAAGATTTGATAATGAAATATGGAAAAAACTTAAAAAAGAGAAATTGGAGGCTATCTAAGAACAGGAAACACCAAATAAGGATAAGGGAAGCATACCTAGAATGTCACAGAAAATATATATTTTAGCCACTACAATCTAAAGTTAAGTCTCCATCTTTGCACATTGCCTGTTCCGCATTCCTTGTTCTTCACTCAAATGATCCTATAACTCTATTCTTTTTTTTTAATTCAGATTACACCTGCCTGGGAGAGGATAAATAGATGTTTAGATGTGGATTATTGTAATATCTACATGGAATGAATGAGTGAACAAAGGGACAATTTCTGGGGAAAGAAAGAGAGAAAGAAAATAAAGTTCTCACTATTAATATGCAAGCCACAGTAATTTCCTATAGAAAACATGTAGTCCTCATTAAAAAAAAAAGATTTTGTTCTCCAGATTCAAAGATAACTTGCCTCAAAATGCGAAGCATATAAATTTAATAAATACACAGATATATGTATTTTAATTATAGTTTTGCAAAGATTAATTTTGGTTATATGACTAGGTTAAACAGCTATATATTGCACTGTGATAAAGTATAGTGTAGTTATTAAGCTTAGGTTTCCACCTGTACCTGTAGAAGTTAATTTTAAGTCTGTGTTTCTCTTTCATAGGATTGTTTGGAAAATATGTGTAAGCACTTATCAATTTTTTTTAAAAAAAGTATACCAGATGTTAAATACAATCATTCAAATTGCTTTTTAAAGTTTGTGTTTCTATGGAGCAATTTTGTTTTTGCAAATAAGGACAGTTATCCTTAAATGTATTTAGTTTCAGGTTTTTTTTATTAGTAGTTAAGCATCTTATAATTCATATCTGATTTACAGAGTTTTAATAAGATACAGCCTGAATGAATACTCCCTTTTAAAATGCAGTAAATTGAGGGTTGTTTAAAAGGAATTTCATATAATAGCAGCAGCTCTATAACAGGTTTTTCATTTATATAATATCAGGATGATCCCAAATCGGTGAAAAATTAAGTGGATGGTTATGGTAAGTACATAGCTAATAACAAAAGTAAAGAACCCTGTGTGCTTTATAAAGAAATTTGGCAGACAAATAATTTAGAGCAAGAAATAAGATAATGAAAGGAAAGTGAGAGTCTGGCATAAATAGATTTTGTTGGAAAACAGGAGATTTATAGCACTGCTTGCAAAATAGTGATAAAACTTAAATGTGTGTAAAAAACTAAAACCATCCTCTTATGAATCTGGAATTTTTTGAATGATTTGCCACAAGGCTCCTGGACATATATAAAATTTTTGTTTTACTTGCATGATACCTAGATTTAGATAATTAAATTAGATAAAAAATTATTATGGATGCATTTAATCCTCTGCAAATAGACTGCCGATTGGTTGATTGATTGATACATCTATATTTAATTTATTTTATGGTATTTATGAATCCATTATATATGCATACATATAATGTGTTGAAGGAAAAGTCTTCATCAGGGTCCAGTCCAAGCCGGGAATAAACAACATGGTGACTGCTTTAGAAGGAAGATTGTAGTTTATTGAAGAGGAGAGCCAGACAGAAAGATGGCTCTAGAAGAAAAGAGAGAGAGCACATGTAGTAGGGAGTGGGTTTTTATACCTTCTAGAGCAGTGATGGCGAAACTTTTAGAGTCCAAGTGCCAAAACTGTAACGCAAAACCCACTTATGCATCGTTGGGTGTCGGGTGGGTGTGGCCCACTGGGTGAGCATGGCTGTCATGGTAACGGCAAACTGGATGGGACTAAAAAGTTCATCAATCAATTCCAACTTAGCAAGATTTTTTTTTCCCCTGCGAAAAGTTGAAATTGATTGATAGATTGAACCTTTTTTTTTTTGCACACGGCAACAGAGGCCTAAAGCAAAAAGGTTTTATAAAACCCAGCTGAAGGCCTAGAACTGGGCGACGGCGCACGTACCCACAGAGAGGGCTCTGAGTGCTGCCTCTGGCACCCATGCCATAGGTTCGCCACCACTGTTCTTGAGCTTTTGTTTGGAGTTGTTCCTGTGGCATGAACTTTGACTTGAGTCTGACTGTGCCTTTCTGGTATTCTGATGATGAGGGTTAATCCTATTATGTCCCAAAGGTCATATCCTGCTTCCCTGGGGCTGTGGCTGATGACTGTTGGATTTTTGGTGTGAGGTATTGTTGATTCTAGGGATCTTTCTTCCTAATCCCAGTTTCCTGACTCCAGTCTTTTTGACAAGATTATCACATCTGCATTTCTACAGAATTGATTTCTGTCTGGGGCAGAGAGACATGGGGGGAGGGTTAGTTTCTTGCTTTTAAAATCCTTTGGGGAAATATATTCTGCCTTTTTAATATTTCCCAAAATATTTCTTTTTCTGGATTCTTCCCACAATCCCCCATGTGTGCCATAAGAGTGTGAATGACACACTTTTATTGGCACAAGATTAAACATGGATCTGATCAGGGACACTTAATAAAAAAGCTTTTAGCTGTTAATACAAAAAAGAAGAAGAAAAAGAAGACACTAATAGATGCAGCAGAAAAAGATCCCTGCAGTGGCTCCCAAAAGGGGAGCTTCCAACCCATAAAGTTCTAAAAATAAGGGAAAAAGTTCTGTTAGATGGAAAAGAAATTTATAGTGTCCAGTATTCTGTGCCAATTCTTTTTAAATGTTGGATGTCACTTTGATCTTCCAGTGAGGTCTGCACATGCCTCCCAAAATTCTTTACAGCCATGGTTTGCCTCAGTACATAACCACTGGCTGCCCATTTTCAAGGGTTGCTTACTGAACCTGCCTTAGCTCTTAGTTTAGTGCAGGGGTGGGCAAGCTGAAACACTGAGCCACTTGGACCCGTTTTCCTCACAAAAGAAAAAATTGGGAGCCGCATAATGTGTGCACACATGCACACATATGCATGGAACAGGGGGATTGATTAAAGAGTGGAGCCTAAGGCAAGACTTGCACCGGCTCAGCCCCCGTCCAGCCCTGTCCAGCTCC